GGCGGCAGCGGGGAGAGGGCAGCGCCCGCGCGGGACGGGGGGTGGCGGAGACACCTTCGGAGGGGAGAGCTGCGGGAAACGAGCGTGTTCTGCGTTTTCCTGCCACAGTGGAAAATGAATCCGTGAACTCACCGCTGTGAGACGCAGCTTTTGCCAAACGCCCGCGGGGGGCCCGTGTGCCGGGCCGGGGAGCCGGGGCTGCAGCGGGCGGGCGGCCGCGCGGCCCGGGGTCCCGTCGGGTTTCGCTGCTGCGGGCGGTTGTGACAATAACTTCTCTGTTAACCCCTTCCAGCCCACGAGCTCCCCCCGAACAAGAGCTCCGTGCCGGCGCAGACGGGCAGCCACTTGCAATGCCTCTCGGTTCACTGCACGGACGACGTGGGCGACGCGAAGGGCCGGACTGCGGTGCCGACGTGGAGATCCCTGCACTCAGACATCTCCAACAGATTTGGGACTTTCGTGGCCGCCCTGACTTGAACAAAAGAAATTATTTTTTTCCTCTTTTTAATTTCAAAGGGCCGCTACTGCTAGGTGGACTATTTTTCTAGGTTGGTACCTGCTTAGTGGCGTATGGACTGGAAAGGGTTAATTTAAAGTAAACCTCAACTTTTTTTTAATCTTCTGCCACAGTATGTTACCAGTGTTAACCCTTCTGCAGTTAGCACACTTTTGCTTAAGATTTTTCCTGCTAGACCACTTTCCCCATTTTCTGTAATCTTGGCATACATTTATAGATGAGGCCTTTCCTTTGTCATCTCAGCGTATGTCCAAGCCACGTATGTCATGATAAGACAAAGATGCTACTTCTCCTCCTCCTTTTCTTTCGCGTTTCTTTTTTTTTTTTTCTTCCTCTTCTTTTTTGCTTTGTTCAGTGCTTTTGCAATGGTGTCCTGAAGAACAGCAGTTCAGGAATAAATGCCGGTTAAAGTGGAATTGCCATCGTTATATTATATATTGACACCAGCTTCTGCCAGCCACACGCAAACCAAACAACTAAAGCTGTGTTCAGTCTTCAGGCGACGAGTCTGTTCTTTCTTGGAAAGATTATTTTTTGTCAGTAATAGCACATTTAATCTTCTCCCTCCCTCGTTTACTTTGTCCATCTCTCCCTCCTTAGGCGAAGCTGGGGTTTGGTTTGTTTGCTGTTGTGGAGCCCAGGTACGGAGGTCTGTTACGAACAGCGGGTCCGGTCCCGGCCCAGCCCTGAGTTTGTGAGGGTTTTGTTCCCAAGAAGTCTAGCGGACGGTTTACTCAGTGGTCAGTAGTTCTCTTTTCTCCACCAAAGGCGCAGATGAGCAGAGCCGCCTCGGCGCGACGCGCAGCCCCGCGCTCCGGCTGCGCTCCCCGGAGCCGTCCCTGGTGGGAGCAGTGCAGGAGCGGGGACACCCCGAGCGCAGGCCGGGCCCCGGCTTTGCCCTGCGTGTGAAGGACAGTATTATTAGATGCACACAATAAAAGGAAAGCCATGCTTTCCTGCTCGCCATAGATAATACTCGTTTGAGAAGTAAGTTGGAAGCAAACCAGCTCAAAAAAAAATGACATGATCTGACACTCCTGCGCTTTTACGTAACTCTGTCTATTATTTGTGTATCCTCTGTTTACAGGGAGTGTGAGCAGTCCCACCCTTGTTCAGGCCAGCCTGGTTTCCTCTGCTCCCGGAGGCTTAACAGCTTCATTGGAAATGGAGGTTTTAGCTGTGAAATAAAGGTCGGAATCTCTAGCGTTATTTATTGTTTTGTTTTCTTTTTTTTCAAGGAGTCCCAGAATATGCCCCTTCTCAAGGGACAGGCTGACGACTGCTTTGTGTTTACCTCAGGTGGTTGGGCTGGGCCTTAGTTAATTTGAAGTCATGTCCTGGTAGACATCACGGAGAGAGAATTCCATGCAAAATGTGAGTGGCCCAGGAGCTTCCATTGCAGGCAAGTGTTGTTCAAAAAGATCCTTGGTGTTTAGGGGCCAGGACTCTTCTCTGTTAGGTGAATGTGCTCTTATGATGACCCATGCAAGATAGTTTTCTTGTCATGGTTCTGGTTGGTGACTTTATTTTGGGTAGATTTGAGGGGTTGAGCTTTGATTTTTAATACTATTTTAGTTTTTGTTGGAGCTGCCACTAGGATGAGAGTTGTTGCACATCCTGAAGTGATTGACTCTGGAGCTGTCTCCTGCCTGCTTGGTTTGGAACAAAGAGGTGATATTTTGTACCTTTTATAGGTGCTTGTGCTACTGAAAAGTCCGATGCTCTTCCCTGTGCCTGCAATAAAACATCCTGAGTAAAATATTTCCTCAGAGAGTAATAACTAGCATTCCGGGTGCTGGCACATGCTTCTCTGCCCGTGATTTCTTATGTCCCAGTTCTAAGTTATACGTTGAACTTTACACTCTGTAGCAGAGCGCTCAGGCGCACGCCAAGCAGAAGGATGGAGCTGGGAGCGGGACGCTGCGGCTTGGGAAGGCTTCGTGGCGTTCCTGCACTGCAGCACGGGGGTGGCAGAGTCTTTGGTTTTGGTTTTTCCTTCTGCACCAAGAGAACAGGTTTTTCTCGCTTGTGTAGGTCAGGCTACACCCCCCAGGCAGCAGGAGGAGGCCTTGAAACAAAGCCTGGACCGACCATTTCAGAGCTGTTTTCAGAAAGAAATTCTCTGTTCAGGACAGGGGATCTTGACCCAGCTGGTCGTCGCTGGGGTTTTCTGCTCTTGGCTCTCTGCAACCTGCACATCTTCCTCAGGGGGTTCTTTCCATTCACTTGGGGCTTAAATTTGTTCATTTGCTTATAGGAATATAAATTGGAAACAATTCCTTAAAATACAGTGCAGGAGCTTTAGATCCTAGGAAACGAGAGGAGGATTAGATCCCCGATGCACAGAAACTAAGGGACGTATCCAAGTTCCAGATCGCACGGCTTGGAGGTGCAGGGAGCTCCGACCTCGGCAGCAGCTGAGTATCCGCCCCGGTGCTGCTGGAGGGAGGACAGGATTCCGAGGTAACGAAACAGTCTGATCTTCTTCCTGGCCTTACTGTCCACACAGTTTTGTCACCTAACACAGTTGCACGCAGTCTTCCTGCCGACCCCGTCCCTTTGGCCCCGGAACGCGAGGGGAGCTGCCGGGACTCCGACCCCCAGGCCCCCTTGGGCCTTCACAGTCTCTCTGCTCCTTGTAAAGACCAGAATGGAAACGGGACACGTGTCTGACCGGGACAAGGTAACCCTGCTCGTACCTGGCGCGTTTGGCACTGGTAGCAGCTAGGGATCTGTCACACAGCTTTTGTTGCCTGTGGTAGTTCTGTTCTACTCATTTTCTCCATTAATTTGACACTCGAGGCACTGATTTTTTTTAACATATATAAAATATCAGCATAGCGCTACATGCTAGGAATTGCAGTACCTAATTTGGGGAATAATAATACCTTCAACTGAATGCTCGAGAGCTGCAGGTAAAAGCCTGCTGTGTAAGATGCAGATGTTTCTGACCAGGGAAACTGAGGCACGGGCAGAGCGTCCCCCTGAGCCGCGGCGGGGCTGGGCCTCGGCCCGCTCCTCATCCCTGCTCAGCCCTCGGCACTGAGCCGTGTCTTGCTTCCCTCTGAGGAGGCTCCAGCACAACAGAGTGTGAAATTTTATTTTAAAAATTTCCCCCAAATGACTGCATAAAGCCAGAATAACTTAAACTTGCACCTGCCCATCATATGGGGCTTCGAGGCATTGCATGAGAAGCCTGAGCTCCATGTTGGATGTGCCCGTAAGACGGGTCTGTCTTTGCTTTGTGTTGTGGAGAAAAGCTACAGCTTTGGCTTCTGGTTCGTTTTGGAAAATCCTCCTTGCCCCACGCGGCCCCCAGGGCCACCCGCCCGCACGGGCCGCGCTGGGACCGGCCCTGCAGAAACCGCCTCTGGACTCGGCCTTGGCGGGTGAGTTTCATCCTGATGGAGCTTGCTGATTTCTTCAGTATATGTTAAAAGAAACTTTGTGCTTATTCTTTACGTTAAAAAGTAGTAGCAAATTAGGCAAAATATCTTTTGGATTCAAGTTGTGAGAAGTGATAAAATATCTCCTTGCCAGAAAAAAAAAAGGGAAGAAAGAATAGGCCTTATTTATTAAATGCTCTTGAGAAGTTTCTCCTGCTCATTTTTTCATAGGGTTCATAGTTCTCCGCTGTTCTAGTTCAGTTTTTAGAACATCTGTAAGAGGGTTTAGACTCATTTTATTTAGTTAAGGTGAATTTCATCGAATATGTAAGGGTTTCCTTGTGTGGTGTGGGTGGAAGGGAATGAGCATCCAAACGATGTCACCGGTGTCGTTTAGGGACCGTCCTCGGGGGCGCCCGCCCTGCGGCCGGTCCCGCTGCGGAGCGGGAAGCGGGAAGCTCCGGCCGGAGCCGGCGCGGGCGGCGGAGGGAGGGAGGGAGGCGGCGGGGTCGGGGGGAAATTCTGAGTATTTTTTTAAGCTGCAATGTAAGGTTTTCTCAAATACTAGATTCACAGCTCTTCAATGGATGGTGTATAAGAGCATAACCCATTTTTATAGAATTGTTTCTCCTTTATTGCTTAAGGCTAATGGAGGAAATAGTCTAATTTTGTCTTAGAAATTCTCTATTAAAATTGTTGGTTTCAGTCCACCCGCTCATAGATTCTGACTGATGAAACTGCAGGCTGTGATTTCCGGCAGTTATAACTTTATCACTATTCACTACCCAAGAATATTACAGCTTTAAAACAGCCTTAAGCAAAAGGATGTTATTTCTTTGTACTAAATTTGGTTCATGGAAAAGAAAAAGAATCAAAACACTGGTAATCCGTACTGCATAGCAAACTCTTCTGAAAAATGTTATTGCACATGTAAAATATGAAAACTTGACTCTGCTGTGTGTTAGGCAATCCTGTAATCTTTTTTCTTTTTTTTTTTTTTTTTGAATCTTGTTAAATTCATTTCTTAAATGCTTGGTTGGAAGACTGTGACAATAGCTCATGAAATTGAGTGTTATTTTTCTTTCTTTTTTTTTAAATATGTAAAGTGCAGTCTTCTGTATTCATGCATATTGTACATATCTGTATATGTTTTACTGAGCAACTAAATAACAATAAATATGATGTTAATGGTGGCTATTTCATACCATGGGTTTTAATTTGTGTAATAGATCCGACGTGAAGACACGAAGAGCGACACGATGCTGTTCGGATGGAGGTAAACCTCGGGCCTGTTACGACTGGGACAAGTTTTGCCAGGGCTCCAGGGAAATCCCTATGGAAGCGGCAGCAGAGCCGTGGGGCTGGCCGAGCTCCTCCGTCTTTGGTAAAAGCACCTCTGAGTTTTAGAAGGATCTTCCCCTCTAAAAACCTTCTAAACTCCAAAACCTCCACCTTGGGTTTGGAGGATCACTGGGTGCAAACGTTATTTTAAGCAAGAATGTTGGAACTGTCACAGTCTTTTTTTTTTTTTTTTTTGCTTGGAAGATTTTTGAGTTACATACTATAAATAAAAAGAAGACAGGCTAGAGATTTTATTGGCCAGAGGTTTTATTAAGATTCTCAAAAATCCCTCCATATCTTAGTTATTCAAATAAAACTCTTCTTCTTTCATGTTCCTGCAAGCCTTCCAAAGAACCCGTCAGGAGACCTGGTATAGGGCATTTTCCAAAGCAAAAAACAAGCAGTAACCTGGGCAATGTTCTGACACGTTGTCTGTGAACTGAGGAGTAACCTCCCACGTCGGTGCTCGGCCTCGCAGGGTTTTGCTGCTGAAGCTGCTTGTGCTCCAAACCCGGAGCTTCCCTTTTCCACGTGCGATGCTGTAGGACGAAGCCGTGCGTCTC